CGCTGATCTCCGCGTTCTGCTTTCTCACGCGTGGTCATTGAGAGTGCATGCCCCGCCAGCAGGGGGGTCCGTGTCCTAGTGACGTTGTGCCAAAGCGCACGTGCGTCGTGGTCTCATCCCCGGTCGGGGGTCGGTACCCAAACACCCCCGTTTAGATTTTGTTTCTCTTGCGAGGAGGGAGACAGAGAATGGGTCACGTGGCAGAATGGGCAAAAAAAATGGCGCTCGAGGAGGGAGAAGGGATGCCATTTCAGAAGGGGCTCCTTTGTCGCGTACTCGTATAATGTACCCGCGCATATTTTTGTTTTCTTGGCTTTCTTTTTCGTATTTTTTTTCTCCCCGTCTCGAATGATGTAGAGCAGGGCTGTAGTCGGCTGTCTTGACTGAGACCTTTGGGTTCGCGATATCAACAGTGAAGATTTAACAATAAAAGAAAATTATGCTTTTTTTTTTTTTGGCTCGTGGTATATCGCGTTTGTGTATGCATTTTTGTGTACGCGTATGTTTGGTTTAGTGTGTCTGGCGTGCTTGGGCGCGTATTGCGTGCAGTGTGCCGCGGCTTTGCGTCTCTGTGTGCACGCGTCTGCTCGACATGGGTTTGTCTTGTGTATATACTATGGCGACGGTTGTGTCCGCGGCCGTAGTAGAGGGAACTTGCGAAACGGACTGTTGGCTTTGACGATGGCGAGGCCGTTATGCAAATACGTAGTGAGCATTGGAGGAAAACCAAACACTGACTCCATCGATTTGGCGGTAAGAAATTTGTTCGCTTGGAATGGTACGGCTCCTTGTACGTCAAGGTCAAACATCGGGCGATAGATAAAAAAACTAAAAAAGAAATAGGAGGGTTGAGGGTGATCGGTATAACGGCACCAGAAATATTCTATCCCTGTTATGCGGTATAAGTTGATAACCGAAGTCGAACGTATTTATACCATAGGACGTACGTGCTATGGTCGATCAAGCCAGCCGTTGGCCGACTTCATTTTGCGTCCTTCTCACACCGTTTGCGACGCCGCATAGTCATCCGCATCAGAAAATGATGATGATGATGATCATGATGCCGATACCTACGGTACGGCGCCCGAAACGTGTGTTCGACTCGTCGGTCGACTTCCTCTTTTTTTCTAAACCACGCCAGTTGGTCGACACGCCAAATGAAAAGTGTCGCGTGCCATTGTTTCAAAAAAAAAAAGGGAGGAAAAGGGAAGAGTCGACGTACAGCGATAAGTCGACGCTGTCGCCATCGAAAACGAGGCGGCGCAAAGTCAGCAGCAGCGGCAACAGCAGCAGCAGCAAGCAGCAGCGTCACAAAAAGGCGCGCATTCTAACGGTCGCCACCTCCTCTCTCAGACCGCGTTTGTATATCGGGGAACGGGGGAGGTGAACAAAGAAAACGGGAGAATGGAAGAGAGAGATGGAGGCAACGTAATAGGAGAGGGGGAAAATTTCAATTTGGGGAGCAGGACTTTCTCTTTCCGCCGGCACCGACGGTCCGCGCGCAGTCGGCGGCGCGGTGAGGAACCGAATATCCGTCGCTTCCTTTTCCCGCCTTTCCTTCGCTCTATCGTAGTAGCGGTAGTAGTAGTACTACCTTCCCTTCTAGGAAAATAAAAAAGGGGAGAAAAAAAAAAACTTTCATCAGCGTCGTCGTCGTCGTAGCGGCGAGGGGGCTCGCCGCATTCTCGGCATTCCAGAGACGGCGGCGCTCCCGAGCAACGGGCACCGCTGGGCTTGATGAGCCGAGCTCGCTTCGTAATTGCGCATTCCTGGCGTTCTTTTGGGGGGGCCCCGTGCTGGATCCATGCGCTGCAACCGGGAGAGGCTGGGCTTCGCTGCATGGCACGCTCTACACCGTGTCGCGTTACGACGGACCGTTACGAGCGGTTCCAGCCAATCCGGCGTCGCGAACGTGTCACGTGACAACGCGTCCCGCCTGTCGCTGCGCCCCTTTTAAGGGTCACGTGAAGCTCGCGCTGCATTGGATTGGCTGGGATGGCTCGTGGTGTTCGCTGCGCTGCTTCGTAAGGGGTAAAAACTTGGGGTGTGCTCGCGTTCGCCGCTTCTCTGGGACGGTGACGCGCGTGCGCCAGCCGTGGGTTTCCTCCTTGGTTGCGTTGCGTTGCCTGGTGTGGATCCACGCACGCGCACGTAGACACACACACACATCTGTGCTAGAAGTGTGTATTATGTGTGCGTTGTTTGCGTCGGTGTCGGGCACGCTCCTGCGTATGCGTGTATAAATCAGGCTTGTACAGGTTACTAAAGAAAGTAATCAAGTAATCTTACTTGATTACTTGACAAAAACAAAAACGAAAAAAGTAAGTGGCCGTTACTCGAAAAGGTAACCGTTACTTTTTATTTTTGAAAACGATAAGTTTTTTTACCGATTTGAAAACGGGTCTATCGTTTTGGATTGGAATGAATAAGAATCACAGATTTATAGACAACCTATCTTCTTAATCCACTCATTGCGGTCTGTCCTCCTGTCGGACACCTAGTTCGAGGATTCCTCTGTGGAAAACTTGCGCACAAACCAAGGGCACCGTTAGGGTGGAGAGGGGGAAAAATAGTGACGATTACAAGTAATTTTAGTACTCCCAAAAGTAGTCACAATACTCTCGTGATTACTTCCTAATAAATCTATCAAAATGGTTACAAAATTACTCCTGAAAGTAATCGATTACAAGTGATTTGATTATTTATAATGGTTACCGTACAAGTCTGGTACAACTGCAAATGTGTGTGCGTGTGTGTGTGTGTGCGTGCTTCCTTTCGGGTTCTGTGTGTGTGTACGCGTTATGAATCCTGTTCACCCCTAAGCTGACACGTGCGGTGGGAGCTACGCGCTCGTCGGACCAATCAACTGTCTCCCTTTCGTCACGTGACCTCCCTCTCTCTCTCTGCGCGTGCTGGTACGGCCGGGGGCGTAATCACGCGACGGAAGATCGACGCATGACTACTGGTCCAACTAAGACGTAGCTTCCACTGCACTCTCAGCTTAGGGTTGAATGGAGGAAAGGTTGATTTGTGTGTGCCAACATGGCTGTGAGTGAGTGAGTGAGTGAAGAGACTATCTGTGTTTGTGTGTCATTGGGTGCGTAAAAAAAAGAAATGACGCCTCCTCTGTTTCTCGGAATTCTTCCTTTATGTTGTCCGTACAAACAAAAAATCGTAACGCTTTTTTTTTTTTTTTTTTTTTTGTATGGAGCGTTAAATTGTTTGACAGTCCGAAGGAAGCCAATTTCTTTGCTTCGTTTTCCGCGGAGGTCTCGAGGGTATACACGCAGAGAAGTCGGGATGCAATAAGGCGTTCGCGAAAAGCTCCACTCGAAAATCGGGATCGGAAAGGAGTGAGATAAACAATCTATATATATAAACTCAAAGCAAATGTCTTCGTCGCTTTCCTCCCCATCTGGAAACGGGTCTTCGTTCCAAAATGGCTCTCATCTCGTAACAGCAGCGCCTACCGGGGGCGTACGCACCCGTCAGGTTGAAAACAAAAAATAAAAATACGAAGAAATTCACGGTATGCAGAAGAATCCGTAAGCGAGATAGACGGCAATACCAAACCGACATTCAAAAAGTTAAAAAGAAAAACCGTGACGTAGGCGCGATTGGGGCTTGAAGAAGAAGAGACGATACTAAGAACACAGCAGTCGTGGACCCAGAGACCAGAGTGGGAGGACGTGGAGTCCTGGAGACATGTGGCAAACGACAGAACTTAGAAAAAAAAAACACACTTAAAAACAAAGAAGGCGTAAGATACGAAGAGCTCCGAGATCATCGACACATACAGTACAAAAGCAATAAGGAGGTAGAAAGAAAGAAAACAAGATGGCGGCGGGCCGGGAGGCAGCCAAGGAAAGCGGCGGCGCGACTGATATCCGCCTTCGCCCGGAGAGGATTCGGGAATGCGAGGAATTCAAGCGCTCAGGAATGGGGACCATCGGAAGCTCCGGAGGATCCGGATGCCTGGCTCGGTGCTGCAACCTCCCGTGCGTCCGTCTGTACGGCAGGCGGTGGAGAAGGAGCATTGCGGGGAAGCCGATCTGGCGGATGGCGGCGGTGTCGGCAAGGATGCACTTGGGACAGGCGACGTCTTTGTGTGCTGTCCCGCTGCTTCCATGAGCGCCGTCGCCGTCTTTTTTTGGTGTGCCGACTGTCGGGGAATCGTTGTGTGGGGGGCAATCGTGTGGCCCTGTCTCCCGATGTCTAGGGGTGTCTTTGAAACGGCCGCCCACAGCGAGGACGAATCGATGAGCAGTAAACCATGTTTCTGACGTGGATGGCGCGTGCGCGGATAGTTGGTCCTTCCTGAAGAACGGGTTTTGCCGCATGCGCAGCGCTCACAGCTTTTTTTTTTTATGAATAATGTTTACTTTTAATGGGCACTGTGACAGGTGTGGGGTTACAAGTTCACGTACAATATAGATGTCTTCATACAATATAAAAGTGCACGTACCATAGAGAGGCGCACATACAATAGAGAAGTACACACACAATACGGAAGTCCAGTTAGAATATCAAAAGTGCGCATACCATATAAAAGTGCACATACAGTATATGTAAATACATATAGAAAATACAAGAGGAAGTAAATTAGAACGAAATCAATACCGCTCTCGGGTTGTCTGCTTGCGGGAATGAGGAGACAAAAAGGTGGTTAGAATCAGGAGAGGCGATGGCGGGAATGTAGCTCGTATGTACAAGAAGAACCACTACGGGGACTTGTTCGGCATTTCCTTTCACGTACTGCCTGCCATGAACGGCAACCTTGTCGGTCCGGAAGGACCGTCTCCGAAGTGGGCGGGCCGGTTAGCACTCGGTGACGGTGATGGGCTCCAGTGAATGCCACCTATTGCTTCCGAAGGTCTGCTTCACTGTACAACGTGTCCACAAAAAAAAAAAAGAAAAAAATATTGACAGTTTTTTTTTTTGTATTGTGTCGCGCATCGTTGCGATCGCGACGAAAGTTCCGTTCTTTTTTCCCTTTCCAGGCCGCAATGAACTCATCGCAAGGTACATCAAGCTTCGCACGGGGAAGACGCGGACGCGGAAGCAAGTCTCTAGCCACATCCAAGTCCTTGCCAGGAGAAAAGCCCGCGAGATCCAATCCAAGTTAAAAGTGAGTTACTTCTTCTAGGCCGGTTTCGGCTGGTGCAGGCGGCTACCTCTGCGGCGGTTAAAATATCCGCAAGAGAGATTTTTGAGGTCACGTGCATACGCTCACCAGCATACCGACCCTGGTATGAGCTCTTCAAATTTCAAATAATAAAAAAAAATATATGCGTGCACTAAAGAGCTCTACGTGCTAACTGCCCCTTTTGGTGTTTATTTTTGCTGCTTATGGCCAGAAATCTTCACATCCATCTTTTTACACCTTTCGATTTCCTCAGGGTGCGGCTTTGAAAGGATATGGATACCTCTTGTTCCTACCGTGAAAGAGTTTTGGGTGATACACCTATACTTCAAGTGTCACGGCGCACCAAATCCGAATGGGAAATGAGTAGAACCTTAAAGGGGGAGTGCAACAATTTTATGATTAAAAGAATCTGCATCTCGTCATTTTTACGTTGTTTATCGTGTCCCGGAGGCTACAGAAGACATCCCCTTCATTAAAAAAATGTCGCGATTCCGCTGCATAGTCGCAAAGCAAAAGTCGAGCTTTTTCCCCCACCTGCAGCCGCAAGTGGCAGCCGAAGGAACTACGGCGAGAAGATTACGTGACCTCGCTCGGCTCTTAAAGGGGCCCTGCAATCATATTTAAGCGTCTACCTTTTATGCGGTTTCCACGTCTCTTGGGGTTCGGGCAAGCCAGCGGGCACGGAAAGAGTAGCTAAATATCAGAGCGCCATATTTTAACCGAACGACACGGAAACCTCCTCCACCGACGAGGGCGACCCGCGGTACCGAAAGCGCGCAAAATGTGACGTCTTTGGTCCTGGGCTTACTACTGGTCAGAGCCACTAAAAACTTCTTTTTGGTCGAAATACAAAATATAAGTGGCGCGAACCGTTTCAAATATTTATAAAAGTAGTTTTTGTTGACTATTATAAATGAAAAAAAAAAGAAAGAAATGCAGTTTATAAAGTACGGAAACAAGAAATGACCCGTCAACATACCCGCCGCCAAGCGGTGGAAAAGGCGGCGCATACTAGAAAGGAGTAGTGGGATAAGGCGCCGACACGGGAAAATCCCGGATGTGCGCGGTGGCGCTGCAGTCGTATGGACAGGGTGGCGCTGCAGTCGTATGGACAGGAGGATCCGACCGGCTCCGAGCGTTCCGAAGGCCTTCGGCGAAAGGCTTTGTCTTGCGGTTTGGCCGTTTCGCGGTGTGGCAGCGCGAAGTGGCTCCCATTCTGAACTGATCTTTACCCCGTGTTTGCTGTCGTTTGTGGCCAATGAAGTGTCATGCCGAATTAGTGTTTAATCGCGCAGCAAACGCAATGAAAGCCGCTTTGGCTGCCCGCTGCATACAGCCTATCCAGAACATGCTTTAGTGGCGCCCTCTGGCGCCGTCGACACGGAGTGCGGCGGCCGTGAGCGCTTGATGAGCCCACTATTCCTCCTCTAGTTCACGGCCACTCAAGCCAGGACCTACGACGTCATGAAGGAGGTTATTTTTTGCTTGTTTTTGTAATTCTAAATTGCCTATAACTTTTAAAATAAAGCGAATTTCGCGAAAAGAAAAGTTTCACTAAGTTACTACGTTCAGTGCGCTCAGGTTCGGTGCAAATTAAAAAAAAACAGTAAAAAGTCCTTGCAGGGCTGCAGCATAACGCACGCTAATGTCAGCAGAGAGAGGGAGAGGAAGCGTCCTCCGAGAGAGCACACGGGAACCTACACAGCACCTCGAATTACATCACTAGGAGTGCGACCATCTGTGACGCTGAAGACTGGGAGTGAGTTGAGGAATGCCAAAAATGCCGATATATATATATATATTTTTTTTAACGCAACAACGAGGACACGCAGGCGAAATCGGTTTCCTGTTCTTTACTTCAGAAGTGTCACAGGGCAACTTTCACAAATATTTGACCGAAATCTAAAAACCGTTGCACCCCCCCCCCCCCCCCCCCCCCCCCCTTTGATGCTGATTATATTACCTGTGCATCGCTGAAGACGACCCTTCTGTCTCGATTTGTTCTTTCTTTAGTGATTCGGATTTCCGAACTTGATCAGAAGTGCGTCCGCAACAGCTCCTCTTGCAAAGCCTGACACTCTTTCCACTTTAGCGGAGCAAATGCTGGAGAGGAGGCAAATGGACTTCGTCTTCTCTCCAGCTTTCGCTCTGCTCAAGTTAAAACGGTGGAGGGGTCTATAGCAGGAGCTTGTCCTGCTTGTTTTTACCTGCCACAGAGTACAATCGACACTTTTAACAGAGAATGTGTTTTATCAGCCGCTTTTTTGAAGTTCTGTAACGTTTGACTGCAACGGCAGGCTGTAACAAGCGACTGAGAGGCCGGCTGTAACGAAAAACCGACACCGAAAAGGGTTACGCCCATAGGGAACCATATAAAAATGACTTAGTCCCCTGGCAGGATTGGAACTCGCCCCTTTGAGATTAAGAGTCAAGTGCTTTAGCGACTGAGCTATCCAGTTTTTATTTTTTTTATTTATTGTTTGATTTTGACAGTGACGCCAAAAAGCTAAAAACTTTGAGGTTAGCCGGCTCTTCTAGAAGTGGCAACCAATCAGGCCGTGTTTGCTGGGTCATGTACAATTCACACATGAAACACACGTGCGCGCTACAAAATATCTATGCACAGGATTCACATCAATATCTGCATGACGCACTGCCAAGCCTGAGCTATCCGGGGTCGGTGGTCAGAACACGAAAAAGCGAATTCATTCGCGCTGTCACGCGCTTCGCGACCTCTCATGTCTTGCTGCGCCATCTCACGCCGTGTGCCAGAAATGAGAGCGCGGTGCCGTTCAGACGCCATTTTCTTCTCCCATAGAGGGTCTATGGCCCATTCTGTGCTTACCAGTATTTGTCAGCATGACCATGCTTGTGTATACACTTCCAAGTACGGTTTTATGGTGTGATCCTAAGGCTCGTATTTCACGTTTTTGATTCGCAAGGAATATGGGTAGATATTCTCCCGTTAATATAATTATTAAAATGAACGCCTTCTTGCCGATCTTGCGTCAGTTCAGTGCGTATATATAATGCCACGGTCGGGAAGTCTAGACACACACATCGTTAAGAGAGGGTTTTCGAGGGGTAATTTAGCCGCCATTTTAGAGCCGTCATTTTGGGGTAGGACGCGAAGTTACCTAACCCTCGAAACGCAATTGCACGACTGAGTAAAACTGGAACCCCAATTTTCTTTTTTTGTTGTTGTTGGTTACGGGGAAACTGAAGAGAAAAGGGGGACACTTGTCACTTCGGACGAGAGAAAAAAAAAAAAATATAGTGGCACCTTAGTTTGATTGATGACGACGGACGCGGACGGTTTTGAATAGACGGGTTTCGCTCGAAAACGAGCCGTTTTCTTTTTTATGTGCTCGCGTGTCTACGCCAACTGGGCGGCTTTCCAGTTTTTAAAACGTCAATAAAAACTTTCTTGAAGTTTGGCAACCGTGCCCGTGTGTCAATGCGTCGGTTGCTGCCCGAGCGCTGCGTGAATACTACGGCACTGCGCGTTTAACGAACTTCTTTGTTTGTCTTTCATGGGGGCGCGCGCGTAAGGTTTGGCAACAGCTCCTGTCTCGCGAGGTGATGGACTGTTCCCAACTCAGATTGGTGTTGTCTTTTGCGAACACTGCAGTTCTTGAGAGCTAGTGGCACGAGTTAGTGTTTTGGGTGGAACATATACTTAAAATGAGTGCGACGCACTAGCGTGACAACGTCCTTGAATGCCTAAAATAACTCCTAGTTAAGTTGTTGTTCATAGGTGCATTGTAGGGTGCATCAAACCCGAAAATGTCATCTGTGACCGACAATTTTCTTATTTGTTTTCTTCTTTTTTTAAATTTTGAGTTTGAAGTATTTAGAACGATATTTGTATTAGCTAAAGTTCCTAACTTTCTTTCTCTCTGTTGGAGTCTCAGTAGAAGGAGAAAAATTCAGAGAAAGAATAAGGGATTATATTTTGGAGCATAAATATTTTGCATAAAAATGTGCAATAGACAATTTTTTTTTTTTGTGCTTATTTCGTAGCTGTTGCCTCTCAGAAACCTATATGGAGCGCGGGACCTTGGTCAGGTGCTATTAAGCATCTTATGTCCCTGCTACCCCGCTTCAAAATGACTAATAAAATTTAATTAATTTTAGGCACCTGTAGTTTCCGCTAGTTGTTATGTACTGCACGTTTTGGAAATATTCGCCAGTCTTTGAAAAAATTAGGAATTAGAGGGTCCCTAGAAGGCAAAAAATATATTAGAGCAAAACGATTAATATTTATCATTGTGTTCAGTGATCTCTTTAAATGAGAAGTAAAACAACATGCCAGATCGTCTGTATGCAGACTTATTATTTGTAAGCAAGCACGTTTGCCTACAGGCCCCATTTGAAGCCCCCTTTAACATCGGAAACATGAGCTGGTGCTAGCTGCTCCACCCACTAAAGCTGGTTCTAATCCGATCCCCTGTAGAGATGCAAGTGCCCGAAAAATATATACCTATATTTTATTTATTTATGCTGTGAGCCCTTTAGGGGCTATTATAGAATTCCGAGTTTATTCTTTTTTTATTGGGTCATATTTTAAAATATTGTCTCAAATTTCCAGGCACATTTTTTTTTTCTAACGGCATCATTTTTGTGAAGTTCTGGTTTCAGTTTAGTTTTGTGAAGACACTGGTCATCATTTCAAGTAATAGTAGTTTATTGTTTAGAGCAGTGGCTCTCAGCCATTGGTGTTTCGCAGACCCCCTGTGGATCAGCGGAGATGATGGAGGCCCCCGTTCGTGGTGAGGGAAAGGAAAGGTATAGGTTAATTATAATGATTTAATAAATGGATATAACTATGGGCTAGTGTGATGTAGACTTTTCTCATTGACATACACACGAGAAAACTTGCCCGAGAATCGGAACGTCTCTTCTCAATCTGAATAAAGCCCATTTTTATTGCCGGGCTTGACTGATGAGGCAGGACTTTACGGACTCCTAGATTGACTTTGTGGACCCCAAATTGTCCACAAACCCTCATTTGAGAACTACTGGTTTAGAGGAGAAGAATACAGGAATAGGGTGAATATAATTCTGAACATCAAAGTAATAATGGGAACCTTTGCAAAATGGTTCGTCCGTTGTTGAACATCCGAAAACATGTCCAGTGTGTGATTTGTCGATAGCAGGCAAAATGCAACCAGTTTACGTGTACTGAAAAACGCATAGAACTATTTCCCCCATTCCACACCCATCGCAAGGCGTCCCACAAAAAGTGTTCCTAAATCACCAAGGAGGTGTGCACTAAAATTTAACACTCACCTCTTTGATTAGGTTATCTCGAGAAAATGAATGCCTTTCATGGTGCCGACCTTACACTTTTGCTGTTTAAAGAACTGGAAATATCTGTCTTTGGGTCATTCAAAATTTCCGGTGATATTGCGTCTCTAGCCGGTCTCGGTGCGACCCCCCGTGATGCAATGTGGCTTTGGACGTTGCGGCTTCCCAGGACACAGCAGCCAAGGAGAAAGCCCTCCAGTCACTGACGTCGCTGTCTTCGGCGCAGATTGTGTCGGCAACGGCGATGCAGAACAAGGCTGGCTTGGCCTCCCTCGTGCCTCCCGTCAGCTACACAGGCGCCCCTGTGAGTATGCGGTCGGCCCGGAAACTACCGCGGCTAGTTAGGGACTGTCCTTTAACGGAGGAGTTTTAGCGAACTATATGCACGGGCCCGATGCCATTCTGAGAGCACAAACCTCGGAACCTGTTTTTCACTGAGAGGCGGCGCGAGCCTGTAATGTCGTTCTGCGACGATACCATCTGACTAAAGCGTCCCGAGCGATGCAGAATGGACCTTTTCCAAATACCGACGGCACCAGGCGGTGGCTGCACGAACTAAAAATCGAGGAAGTGACCTACCTGCGCTACCAATCGATAATGGGAGCTACGCTACCAGTTGCTCCGCACTCTGAGCTGCGTCGCGTGCCCAACGCGACTTTAAAGAGGGAAATCCGTGGCGTCCACCCAAACGTCGTGTTTTTCTTTCCATCAGCTTTCTTTTTTTGTGTAACATAATTATATATATGCTGCAATTACGTGTTCTACTCGCTAATTCACAGCCTCCTTCCGAATTTCCTTGATTTCTAGTGCTGACTTCCGCCGCTTGGCATCGGGCGCTCGCGCGTGCGCAGAACGCTTCTCGGAAAAGGTCCATTCCGAACTGTGCAAGCATTGAATGGCAGATTTGGACTAGAGACATGATGCTTCGGTCGGCTCCAGCTGTTTTGCTTCGAATGTTTCGAATTTAGTTGCCTTTTGTGTTTTTTAAAATTCTCAGGTTCTAATTTAATATTTTTTTTTGCAATCGTGAGGCTTTGATCGCACATCCCTTCGTTTTAGTTTTTGAAAATTTCTGACCGTCATCTGCTAATACTGTCACGAATGGCAAGCGATGAGGCGACGAAAACTGAAGTAAACTAAACGTCTAATGAGGCGATCTTGTGCCCAAAAAAAAAAAAAAAAAAAAAAAGGAAACAGAATATAGCAATAAAGCATCGCGGGCGTCGAGGTCGGCGTAACAGTGAAATCGAACACTGGGACGAGACTGACTCGACATGTTCGCGGGCGGCCTCTTATCTAGAGTGCGTCACTATCTCGAAGATTTGGCGAAGAAGGCTCGAGCGTCGCGCGCTCGGGGCGAGAATGAACACGCACTTTCTAGAACAACAAAAACAGGACTAAACGATACAAGTTATGTCCCGAGCAAGAATAAACGAGAACCTTCTAGAAGTCCGTGACCGAGCGTTGCTTTCTCGGCCCTGCGCGCGGCAATACCCCGGTCAGACGAGCTAATTCATTGCGCTTTAACGGAGTACACTTCGTCTTTAGTGTCATTTGCGTAGTGTGCCACACGACTTCCTTCTAAAGAACACACTGGGCTTCACGTGAGTTTTCTTCTTGTTCTTTATCTTGCCTTGTAATGATCGATCAGAGTCATCTAATTGGCTTAAATATTGTCAATTAACATAACGTTGTCTTGTAGCATGTCTTTAATAAAACAGATTACATTTTGCTGAGACATTTATGGCTTTACTTCAACATTTTAGGTCTCTAATAGCACTTTACCCATCGTTAATGTCATTATTTCCAAGTGCCACTAATTTATCCCGGGTGGCACGGAAACACTCGGTGAGCTGAAGTGCGCTTGGTTGAAGTGCGCTAAACTAGCCCGTCTTACAAGGGTGCAGTCGAGCCCGGGTATATCGAATTCAAAGGGGATCGTAAAATAGTTCGATATATCGATAATTTGATATACAAACATATGCTAACTTAAGCTTCAGTTGAAATTTCCGCGCGTCTCTGCTAATACCGTAGGCCGCGAGAAACGGGACCTTACCAAATAGAGCCTCTAAGAGCCCCTAAATACAGTAGAGCTTAGTTGGTGAATATCACTAACACCACCTCGTTTACGCCTGGCCACAACCTCCACAGAGCGCCGGCAAGCAAAACACGAAAATAATAAAAAAAAGAAAAAAACGAAAGAAAAAGCGAGCCGCATAAAAAAACAACAAAAACCTCTCGATCCATAGGATAAAGTTAAGCAAGTAACAAAAAAAAAAAAACCTCACTAAATTCAGGCGCAAAAAAAAAAAAAAAAAAAAAGCAAAAGCAAAAACGGCGCAAGGAAAAGGTAAACAAAGATAAGGCGTTCGAAGTGCGATTGCTCAACCGTTGCTGTTGGCACACTCTACTTGACGAAAAAAAAAAAAATTTTTTTGCTTATTTTATTTTGGGGTTAAGAAGTCGCGCAGCGACAGTGGTGTTCGGGGAAAGAGCGCACGCTACCGTTCCAACAGCGGGCACTCCCAGCACCTCCTGGACAGCAAAGCCTGCGCGTTATGTCACATGACGTCTCGTCCGGGAGGCCGGCATGGGCGCTGATTGGATGTGAGTGCCGCTTCAGCGTTCGCGCGGGACTCGTATCCTACAATAGTCCCACGCGAGCGCTGACGCGGCATTCGCATCCAATCAGCGCCCGTGCCGGCCTCCCGGACGTGACGTCATATGACGTCTAGGAGGTGTTGGCACTCCCTGCCCTCCATATCCGCGCGCGTGCCCTTCCCCTTGCTTTTGCCATCCTCCACTTCTTTTTCTTTACAACTGCTCTTTCGCTGCGTATCCCCGTGGGCATATGCTGGTTTGGCGGTCTGCCAGCCCTGCAACGCGAGCTATGTGCTCGCTGCGGGCCGCCGTGTTTTGTTCGCTATATCGAGTGTCCCCGTCATGGGAGTTCGATACTGAAAGACAACCCTCCTATACAATAATGTGTGATTTTCAATGGGATGTTTGGTCTGTTCGATATAAACAATAATTCGAAATACCCGGGTGTGCTATAACCGAGCTCGACTGTATTAGTTGTCGTCTTGAAAATCAGATTTGTTGCCTTCAAAATCAAATTTCTAGCCACTAATGAAATGGGAGTAAAATTTAAAGAAATTTAGTGCTGTCATTTGTTGGCACAGCCTCAAACTACTGTCATGAGCGAGCCTGGTTCATCCAAAACAGTTGAGCGAGTGAAAGCAGATGAGCTATACTTGTCCTGAACAGTTTGGGGACGGTTCCATGTTGACGAGCTAGGCTCGTCCAATACGGTTAAGGGGTTAAAAAAGCAGAAATGGAGAACTTGGGTGTTCAAGATGATTCTGTTGAACTTTTGCATTGAAGTCTCGTAGAGTTTGATATTTAGCAGATTGTGCATTTAAAGTAGTCAGACTGGTTTCTCTAACTGAATTTAAGATTGTGCATTGTCCACGATAAGAATCCAAGAAATATATTGTTGCATATAATAGATACTGTCAGCAAAGTTATCTGGGTTTTGTTGTCTGCATTGCACGTGTTTAAAAGCACACATGATGCACTCTCGTAAACTTAAAATAACTGATAAAAACAGAATAACGATTTTCACTTGGCCCTTTTGACTTTATCGAGTGGCCGATAAGTTATCAAGCAGTAGTCTTGAGCTCAAGCCTCTTAAGCCTATTCTGGTCTTTTTAAGAGATTGTCACTGCTACTTCAAACATTGCTTTCTGAGTGTTTATACTTTTTTCCACCTGTTTTTCAGTTTTGGCAGACAACCATTGGCCAGCCTGGAACGTCAGAAGAGTAAGTACGCGTCGAACACACCTGGCATAACACACGAGAGAGATACTGCGCTTCTTTTCATCAACCGCACGGGCAAGCATACAAATCTGGCGCCATCTTTTAGGGGCGTGCAGAAACATTTCACCATTTAGTCTGCAAAGGGTCAGCTGTTACTATGCAATTGAAAATATCAGGTCATCGCTTCTCGAATAATAAAACTGTTGCTTTTATTCTTGGAATTTTAAGTATGCCATAAAATACAAACAAAGTAGGAGGTAATCTGGAAAAACAGGGTGATAAGCATTTGTTTGGTCCGCGACCGAAAATGCAGAAGGGGCACAAGATAAGGTTGGCTTTACCACTTAGGACTGGTGCAAGCACAACAAGCTTCATTGCATTGCACCGGCACCGGCGCGCTCGGGATCATCTCTGTTAGCGAGGTGTGTTTATAGTCCGGGTCAGGGGCAGATGCAGGTATTTCCAGAAGAGGGAATGAGCGTATCATATGTTTGAAACGCCCCCTCTCCCCGTTTTCCCACCATTTTACACATGCAGAATTCAAGAGGGGCGTCAGGACGTTCGGACCCCCACTGTTAATCTGCCACTGGTCGGGGTCGGGTGCTTAATATGTCATTTATTTTTCATTTAAAAAAGTAGCAGGTGGGCACTTACTGTGACATGAGCGCATGCTCAGCATCTTACGGTGGTATGGCAATTGTTCATCGACCGTAATATCCCGAGAAATAGCCCACATAACATCAAGAGCAAATCGCGTGAAAATAGGGAGTGGGCTAACTTTCGGCATACAATCAAGAAAAGTTAAAGAATTGCTATTTTTAGGTTGTGTCCCTTCCAAGCTTGTTATGGTGGCGAGGAGCAACGAAGCAAAGGTGACTGTACTTCCCAGTGAGCAACGTTTTCTTATATCCCACAATAGCTAACTAGCCGCATTTACGCCGAGGCTATCATTGATCCCAACACTACCATTACTAGGAGTGGGCTATATTTCGGTGTTTAAAAAAAAGTATAGCTAATCAAGCCACAAATAGGGGTGGGCTGTCTTTTGGAGGTGGGGCATCTCTCGGGATTTTACGGTATGTCACAAGACAACAAAGGAAGCGGAAGTACCTTACATGGCAAAATATTAATAACTTGTAGTGGTCCTTGTCTGCTTTTATTTCCTGCATACATTCACACCTAAAATTGGCATCCATGAAATCTTCACCACCAAAAATTTGAGGCTGTGAAATATTTCTTATTACCATGTTTAGCTTTCTTGTATGTACTTGAGCATGAACAGGCCACCATTATTTTGTTTTCTTCACATACCTGCCTGTTTTCGAAGAAACTCTGGTTTATACTAGGGCTGGAACTCAATTTGTAGATCCTATTTTGAGATTGATTGAGATTACAAATTGAGAGATTACGAAGCTTGGCGAAGACCGCAAACTTAGCAAAAGAGCAGATCAGGTGTTGTAATTTGGGGCACACTGTGCCTTATTGCTAGCACAAGCACGACACCAACACTTCTTTATATTTTACTTTGAAAGAATGTTTGTGTGCACCAAGTTTGATCTCCTTAGATTGGTGCCTTCAGGACGGGTTCGCTGGGACATGTTGCGCCATTCAGGTTGCCAGATCTGGATGGGGTGACATGCTTCGTTATGGGAAGCTGGGTGGTTCTTGTCGGAGACAAAGTTGCATTTCTTGGCCATTGGCGACTAACTCAGTTGAACTTAGGAGTTACTCATCAATACACAATTTAATATTTTCATAGAAAATAAAAATACATAAGCAAAATAATACTCGAAAAGTAACTTACCCTGTACGGGGTTGGGAAGGAGGTACTTGGGTGTTAGCTTATTACCCAAGCTTGGGAGTTTGCTGGCTCGTGGGATTCAGTTAAGATTATGGGGACATTGTCCCTAGGAGTGCTTCGATTGGGCTCGATTATAGAGCGTTAGCTCTCGAACTCCAGCCCAAACTAAAACCACTTGCTGCGTTTCCTCTAAAAATCACTCGGCCCATCCCCTTTTGGTGAACTGGCGAATCCTTGATGCGTGGTCAGAGGCGTTTCCCACTGGCCTCGACTAACTTCCTTACATAGGGCAATGCGGAGTGCAAGTTCGTCTGCTTCTTGTACAGGGCTTGCGGTGATGTCAAAATGCCGAGCTCTTCTTGGCTGATAGAGAGACCTCAAGGCATCTAGCATTGAAGTCTACCCACTATCCTTCCAATCAAAGCCAATCAGAGCTCGGCGTCGTTCTGATGTCTCCGCGATTCCTGTGCAAGAAGCAGACGACTTGGTCTCCATGTTGCTTACATTTCGGCGTGAGATCCCCGGTCTGCGTTTATCTCATGGCCAAAGGTCAGGTGGGTTTGGACGCAAAGTAAACTATCTAGAACTTGTAAGGCAAGTCAGACAGCGAGTCAGACAGTTGACCCCCGACCTTGGTGTGGATAGTGCCGACTGGGCTACCCCATCATTCATACCGCCAGATGCCGCCTGGCGTCTAACGTTGCCGTTCTACCGTGCCCCCTAACGCGTGGGAAGGACAGACTACACTGATGTAAACAGTGCCAGCCAAAACCATTGCATTCTCCCGGCCCAAAACGCGCATTCTGATTCACTCTGCTTATCCGAACCTTACTCATGAAGTATGCCTGTCTCTCAAGGTTGCCCACCACGGGAAATGTTTATGCCAACGCTTTCCTACCAGCCCCTCTGGTGCTAACGGCCCACCCGTGGAACCCTCGTGGACACCCTCAATGAAAAATTTCTGCCATTTTAGTAGTTCTGATGACACTTTCACTTTTAAAAGGAAACAGAAAAAAACTGTGATCACTTGTTTGCAGTTGCACTATGTACATTGCACCCCAAACTCAACGCCGCCACTGGGTTCCCAACCATTGAGCTCGTGTCGGCTATTTACTATTAAATTTGTCATCAAAACGTTCAGGATGCCTTCTGAGGATAGGATAGAAATCGGAAACCCAAACATTCTTTAGATATTTCAATCGGCCACCGCAGGGACTGTCAGAAACGGTAAATGCCATGGCGGCGCTAAGTTTGAGGCGCACTGTACATCCTTGCAGAGAGTTAATAGCAGTTGAATGTGACAGGAATGAGGGTGATTGTGCAGGCAAGTGGTGAGCAAACATACTACAATAGGAAATTTTTTTCTGGGCTGTATAACTAATTGTGCGGGCGAGTGACCATTTTGTGTTTGTATGTGTGTGTGTTAGTCCTGCCCCTCCTACGATAATGTCCTCGAGGCACTTAAATAAAAATAAATAAATAAAATAAATAAAAACCCTGGATATAAGGGGGCTCAAAAAGGAGGGAACAAACACCACATCGTCTCAAAGAACAGTCAGGCTCTATCCAAATATAGGAAAGATGCAGAATCTGAATTACTGTTTTGTACACGATTATTCGAATAGACCTATGAAGTGCTTAACAGCGTGTCGACAGCATCGCTTAGTAAAGGAGCCAAGAGGTAATGGGAGACAATGTAAGACTGGGGTAAGGCTAACTCTTTAAACAACCGCTCGTTAAAATTTTTTATGGGTTTCTGGGGAGCGACTTTGAGACAAACTTGAAACGTTTCATTTGAAATTTGAGTGACGCAACCCGAATTGCATGATCTTGATAACGCGATTTATGTAATGACACTAGGGTGCCTGGAACGTGTCTACGGCTGGTGTTTTTAGCGTCCGGCCCATACATCAAAAGTGGTCCCAAATCGGCAACAAATGACACCACAGGAGCTGGCACGTCATGCTGTCGGATGTCGCAATTCTGCCGGTTGGGTCATACAAACGCTGGTAAAAATCGAGAGCAAACACGAGCGACGCTGTCGTCGCGGCGTCCCGGCTGCCAGAGTTTTTGTGGCCCGTCAAGCTGGAGAGTGACCTACAGCAAAACGGTCATCTGCCACGTACACCATCACTGTTGCGACACTACCAGGTTTGCGGCCGGCGACGAGACGACACGTCTGCGGCGCCGTCTGGAGCAAATCGAAGACCCACTTTTTCGGACGTGGTAAATGCACCAGTCCAAGACACATTCTGGGCACCACTATGCGACGCAGTATACGCTAGAAATATTAGTGTGTTTCTAGGGGCGACTTTGAGCTAGGATTTTGACCGTTTTCGTTAGGAATTTTAATTACGCTGCCTGAATTGCGCACACTTGGTCGCTGCGGGGCATGGTGTGGCCCTTTGCGTAGTGACGCTCCAATGCGGTAGGCCTGCTCGATAAATCATGTTTTTCGAAGCTTTGGGTGCAATTCGGGGAGCCTAAGACTTGCGTCTGTCCTCTGTTGCAGCGTGAAGCCGTTTGCGACGCAGCCCTACTCCCTGCAGACCCCTAAGGTCCCCCCGACGGGCAACTCTGGGGTGGAACTGCTGCCCCACACTGGTGCGGGCATGCCCCCTTCCTGGGAGGGACGCTCCATTGCAACTCACAAGCTGCGATTGGTCGAGTTCTCAGCCTTCATGGAGCTTCAGCAAGACCAGGACACGGTAGGCTCGACTCTCTTCCCCAGAAACACCTACTGGAGGCTCTCATTAATTCAAACTCCAGGAAGCCACGACTATTGTTTGAATTATCAGAACTTTGAATTATCAGAAGTTATGATGCAAGGTAAAATCTTGATTTTCTCTATGGATCGCTACACATGCAAAGCAAATACCTGATGATTTCCTCTGCACAGGCCTACAATCAGAAGCAGGTGTGCCATGTATGAAACATTGGTGGGATGTTTGAGATGAATTTATTCATCCCACAAAAGTGTTGTCTATCCTGAACTGTTCGGACAGCACACGACACCTCAGAACAAAATTTAGCTTGTTCATGCAGCTAGAAAGTTGTCTATTGTGGACTATTAAGTCTCGTTGAGCATGCTTCTTACTGAGCACCGGTGCACTGCAGAGAAGCAAGACCTGCAGAAGCGAGCTCCACGGGCATTGCTTCTCTGCAGCGCACTGGCGCTCGGTAAGAAGTGTGCTTAATGGGTCTACGAGAACCAAAAGTAGGAATTACACAAAAACGCTGTTCGAATTAGGTGCCTTATAAATACACTGAACACATTGCGGGACAACCAAAATATTTAAAAATTAAAAATTTGTTTGAATTAACCAGGAGTACAAAATATCATAGCTGGAATTATTGCCAGTACTAGACCACCAAATAGGCTACGCTCTGAGTACCGGCGCTCTGTTCTTCAGGTTTCTTATGGACGCTGCCATTTTGGTGCTCGGTGCGGAGCGGTCGCAATTGGCAATCGTTACGATTGCCAATTGCAGTGGAAGCTACTCGCTTGCTGGGCCAGTCGTTCATCGATTTTTCACCATGTGATCACACACTTGTCTGAACCTTCATGCAGTGTTTGAACACCTCCCAAGAAAGGAACACTGAGTTTGAATGTGCTGCAATGGCTTCGGTGTTCTATTGGCTGTTAGCCCTAGGATGCAGCGATAGAAAATCAAAATCTCAGTGGTGCATTCAATTTTGGTTTTTGTTGGGCAGGAAGTAAAATGCTTGAACATGTATTAAATGTTCAGGAAAGTGACTGACTTGCTAGTTTTAATGATGTCCAGCAAGTTTTTATTTGAAACTAAAATAATAATAGTAGTACTGTATTTGCTCAGTAATAGCTGTACGGTTTGTAAACAAAGCCTGTGGGTATGCTCTCTTGTGAAGCACTGGGGTTACGAATCAGCATGATTGGCAGAAAAATGTCAACGATTTATGGGATCTTCATGCGAAAATGCTATCTGCTCATCGTATTTTGGTGGAGAATCGTGTTTTTGACATCGTGATTCACTGCATTATTTATGCAGGGCGCGATGATGGCTGTATGTGGGGTCTGCAAGAAAGTAGACGCAAGTGCCTTGTTCATAAGAAGTGCGGCTATTACTCGAGCAAATACAGTAATAATCTATTGTTAAAGGGCCCTAAAAACAGTCACAATGGTTTTTATATTGGTGCACGTCGGGGGGGATCGGTGGCCGAGTGGGCTGAAGCGCACACCCAGCTCGACGCGCGTGGAGCGAAAGCTCGCGCTGCAGAACCCAGGGATCCTGGGTTCGAGCCCCACCCCTGCCCGTTTCGATCTGGATGAGCATCGTACCGGCGTGCGGTCGCGTATCACTACTGCATGGTGCACGTTAAAGACCCCAGGCTAGCGGTTGTACTGCACTGGCTAAATTGCTCATCTACAGTGTGTGACTCGTCGCAACTTTAATGGCAGACCAACTACATGCTGTATAAATATCCCCACAACCCCAATATATTGGTGCACGTCCACAAGAATACCTAGTAAAAAACACAATATGGGATTACCTTCAACACACGCTAATACAAGAATAATATAAAAATTCAAAAAAAGTGAAGCACACTCAACATTTGTCGAAACACAGAAGCTGACCAGGGGCCAACACTTGTTGAATAGTTTGTATTGATAATTTTAAAATTTAAATTATCTTCTAAATTTCCGAATTCAGAAGTTGGGTAAAACTTCGGTGTGTTAATCTTCAGCATAGTTTTACATTTTAGCAGTATAGAGAGCAAACACAGTCACCTGTGGCTTCAAACGATGTACACTCCTCTTGTAGAAAAGGTTGTCTTCAGAGCTTGATATCAGTGGTCCCTCGGGATTTGTGTTTCACCCTTCTTCTGTCACAACATTTGGTCGCTTTCCGTTTATTGCAGTGCAACAAGCACCTATTTGTCCACATAGGAGGACCACCTACATATTCGGATCCCCTCCTAGAAGTGAGTATTTTCTTGTGAGGTTAAATGTAGTGGCTACGTCTGTTGCCAGTTAGGAAGAGCAGGACGAATTGTTCCCGCAAAGCCTCTCACCCTTTTTACTTTAGCAGAGCGAATGCTTGAGAGGAGGTGAGTTCAACGTTTGCTCTGCTAAGGTGGAAAGGGTGAAGGGCATTGTGGGAGGACGTCGTCCTGCTTTTTTTAATTAGCAACAGACTATTGTGTTGTTGGTTTTCCACTGGGGGACAAAGAGGAATGGGCCGGTTGGACTGGAGTTTCAGCTCAGAAATGTTGGTTCTTTGGTGCACACTACACAAAACGGTGTGAAAAATTGAGCACGCATTGAATGTTGCACAAATGTGGTGTACCTCACTAGTATAGTAGGTGACAGGCTAAGGACCAAGTAGATGCTCTGCCTTCAGCATATGTTTTTTGCCTTCAGCCATGCTTTGGCTGCTTTTGCGACGAAGTGTAATTAAAGGAATGCGCTGCCAGCACTTTGATCATAAGCTGCTTATACTGAATAAGTTGTCGAGCTACAAAATGCTTTCCCTCCTTTAATTTTTTGAAAGCCTATCAACATGTTAGGTTAGCGCCAACGTCCCACTTCCCAAAAAATGAGTTGTAATAATTTTCACCTGGTGTGTTAAAATGTAGAGGTCTAGTTGGGAGCCTGTCTTTCTGGTAAAGGTTGTAGGTTACACAGCCCTATTCAGCCATTCTAAAACATTGGCCTTGTATCATATCTCAACCCTCGTAACAAAACTTCAGTAGTACCATCCCCAACTTGATAGAATGTAGGCAGCATGAGGCATGGGCCTAGTGCATTGGTGCATTTGATGCTACTTGTAAGACAAACACAAACCCTTCAAGAGTCTTGACGGAGCATGCCGTGCGCCCATAGCTTTGACTGTGTAGCTACAGAAAAGTGTCCCCGAGCGTAATGAAACTATGTTTGCATTTATCGCTGGAGATGAGAGTAAAATGAGATTGTCAACTTTCACGACGTTGGTTCAAGAACGCAATGACTCCCATCCTTCACACACGCTCAAACGCAATGTGCGAGCCAGCCCCGAGAGTTTCTTCTCTTTGTGACTGCACCGCGAGTTGCCTACACACTTGCCGGTCGTTGTGGACGTGCAGGCGGTGGACATCCGCCAGATCTACGACAAGTTTCCCGAGAAGAAGGGGGGTCTTAAGGAGCTGTATGACAAGGGACCTCAGGATGCCTTCTTCCTGGTCAAGTTCTGGGCCGATCTCAACACAAGCATCCAGGACGAGGCGGGCGTCTTCTACGGCGTCACTAGTCAGTGAGTGCTGCAATTTCCTCTTCCTCCGTATGACACGAGCTGGTCATGATTGGGTCGGACCCTTAGAAAGAATCGACGAGACACCGGTGCCCTGCACCAGCGTGGTGGTAGTGCCTAGCACCACTAAGTGAGCTACCAAATGACGCTGGGTATGCACCCATGTCGCAATAAGCACCAACCCCCTATTTCAGAAACATTCAAAATATAGGCAAAGGGTATATCAAGCACCCACCTCGGCAAACCTCCGAGACCACCAAGCTCATTGAGGTGCCCCACTGCGTTAGATGCTTCTTCAAGTATGTTAGTACAAGCTGGTGAAGCTTTACCTGCGTGCACCGGTGTGAAGTGGTGAAGCTTGGTGCAAGAGCTCCAGCATTGAGCTTACTACTCGGTTGCAAAACTCACCCGTGGAACGCGGACCCTTCGCGTCCACTGGAACCAAGCCATTGGAACCCAGATTAGATTACAGTGCTGCCCAGTGGCGGTCAGTCCATTTTGTTAGTTGGTTTGTAGCTTGTTGATTATTTGGTGATACATACCTTAAAATACCATGGAAGCTCCCATTTTGTTTAAGCGCCAAACGCTAACATTTGCCAAGCTTGGGAATTCTACAAATTGTATGTCAAAAGGATGCTGAACTGAAATGCTGATTTCAGAAAACAATGCAGAAGCGATAGGCACAGTGCCACCAACCCAGAAGCATCACTCATAAAGCGATATCTACAATGGATGGTTGTATTTTTGTGAAAGAAGGCTCAGAAGAGCACGTTTGGACAAGGCCAGAAATGCTCGTGATGTCGCGATTCTCGTTTCCTCCTCTTCTCGCTTTGACTGCGCGAGGGCGCGAAGATGGAAGGAAGCAAGGCCATTTCCCCTCCTCCTCAAAAATTCTCCAGAAAACGCGACGTCGCGAATCTCACTCAATTGCATCCTTATTTTACAAAAATACGGCCACCCGTTCGAGATGCCTTTTTATAAGTGGTGCTTTTGGGTTTGTTGTGCCCCATTGAACACTCCTGCTACCTTATTTTGTGGAATACAAATTTCGGTTCTTATCCCTTTAAGGGCCCAATTTGACCGGACAGGCACCCATGTCTAGATTAACCCAGCTCTCAGTGACAAGGGGCTGGGTGCTTCCCCCGTGTTTCACGGTAATCTGTTTTGAGACTTACCTGTGTCGCAAAAGTTCACTTTGCAGGCACGGATACGGTTTTACTGGTCTTTGTTCTTTTTTTTTGTTACGTATAGTGCACAAGGTGCATTGAAGTGCACTTTTAATGATCTGCTTTTTTATTTCCAATAGTTTGCTGCACGTCAGTTTGTTACGAGCGGGTTTGGCCGTATAGCACCGTCGCAATAGCTGCGGTGCTTCGTGGGCGACTTGTGAACCTAACTTTTGTTTTCTGCCTCTTTTTCCTCTCTTCCAGGTATGAGAGTAACGAGAACATGACGATAACTTGCTCCACAAAAGTGTGTTCCTTTGGGAAGCAGGTTGTTGAGAAGGTCGAGGTAAGTGGGAAGATCTCATATCACGTTGTGTAACCGACACTTGTTGGTGGATCCATTGGTGGCATAGCGAGTAGCCGACACGGCAAGAATGTCGAGGAAGAATTTCAGTTGTTTTGCCTCTAGTGCGAGCTTCGTACCTTTGACAACACTTCGGCATCTCGTGTACTTCGAGCCTGCACACCGCCAAAGTAGGTCAATAGGCCTACTTTGGTCAATAGGCCCAGCATAATGCCCTATTAATGGGTCAATAGGGCCCAGTACATGTGCCTTATTGGCCCATGTACTTCCAGGATTATACTATTCTGCATCCTACAATTCGAGAAAGGACAACTAGCGATTGCTGACTTACCCAACTCGCTAATCGATTAATTAACCTTCTAATCGGATAATCGGCTGGTGGGCCGCACTCTCGCAGCGTGCATTCAGCATGTATGAAATTCTTGGCTTTTTCTGCTTTCAGACCGAGTATGCAAGGTTCGAGAACGGCCGGTTTGTGTATAGGATTCATCGCTCGCCAATGTGTGAATACATGATCAACTTCATCCACAAGTTGAAGCATCTGCCAGAGAAGTACATGATGAACAGCGTCCTCGAGAACTTCACAATACTACAGGCAAGTGAAGGAGCAACAGTTTGGGGGACGATTATCGTTTACTAAGTGAATTGAGTTGTCTGGTCGAAAAGATTCCCACTTTGAGGCACTTGGTTCATATATGGAAATTTCACCTTGCGTTCTCCTTTTAGCGAAACATCTAGTGTTTCTCGTAACTTGTTATTTTGTACGAGACTGTGAAATGCCGCTGCAGTGTACCAACTGCAATAGAGTTTGAGGGTGGGCTAGTCGGTGCATGTTGGTGACAGGAGAAAACAGTGCAAAAAAAGACACAAGGACAAGTAGACAGAAAACACAAGCACTGTTTTTTTTTTGTGTGTTTTTTGTCTACTTGTCCATCTGGGTTTTTTGGGTTTTTTTCACCGTTCTTATTACCAAACCAACTGCACTGTAGCAGTCCTTTTTATAATGTAAAACAGAGAAGTGTGTGCTGTCTTTGTCTTCGCACTTTAAGGTCTGGTGATCCCTAAGTCTTTCTTCACAACACCACCTCCAGTTTTTATTTGCTATTCTAAAGTCAGCTTCTCATTTCCTCTAGTTGGCATACAATGATTCTAATTTACGTTGCCCCACACCGTGCGACACCGGCAACGCAAACAAGACATTGGCACTTTTCTTCTGTAGTTTAGTCCAACATATTGACGGGCACCAGACTTTATTGCTAATGTTGCTGCCCTGAATGAGAGCTGCAACGTTTTCACCTCGCTACCGTAAAATACTGGAGAAGTGCCCACCCCACTTTCACTGTCACTCTTCCGGTCCAATCGGTTAAAACCAAGATGGCGGCCGATAAAGAGCTTTGAAGTTAGGGTGGACGGAATCGGAGAAAGCACATTTATTTTCCGATGATATCCCCGGGGTGAATATTTTCGGCCGATGCCGGCGCTTTGGAGGAGCTGGGCGCTTAACATATAATTTGCAGAATTCCCAAGTTTGGAAAATGTTAATAGTGAATGCTCGTATGAAGTGGGCGCTTCTGCGATATTTTACGATAGTACAGTGTAGACCGCATATAACGTATGTCGCGGGAGTCGCGAAAATCCGCACTATAAGCGGTACCGCGCTATAACCAAAACATCAATTTTTCAGGCCAAAATTCATGCAATGAGACAACTTACCTTTGTAAAACAATTGATTTTATATTAGATGAAAAATAAAGCTTAGTTTGAGGAAAGTCTTCATTTCACCAGACTAGTACACTTCTCTCTCAAGTGTGTCACACATTTTGAAAGAAATGAGTGACTTTTGCCTGGCGCAGCCTTTTAACGGCGTCGCGGGTTGCGGACAGACGTTGCGAGCGTTCAGGATTGCTAACCCTAATCACTTTTCTCCGGTGATGAAAACGCATGAAAATTCACATTTTTTATGCGGTACGCATCAGTAATACCTTCAACTCTAGCACAGGCTTGAAATGCTCCAAATAAGAAATCCAGGCAATGTTCGAAAACACAAATGCTTAAAAAGCACCACTGTAGTCGAAGTAAACAAACACAACGACACGGGCGTTTCTGACATCTTGAGAGTGCCGCCACAACATCACCGCACGAATATGTGGATCTTCCCTTCTAGTACGTGCTGGGTTATCATAGCGACACACAACGAAAATTCAGTCAAGGATAGTGCTTTTACGCGGAACGATGAGCTTCCACCACGCCGTCTACGTCGACAATCACAACCGACGCCATGTTTGCGAATAGAAGAAGCCGGCCCACGACCGGCATGCAACGCGCGCGAACACTTCTCCTCGACCTGCGATTGGTCTGTCGTTGCGGTTGTTTCCAACGCAGCGGAGGGACTCATGCACGTGAATGACACGTGCGTGCGTCCCTCCGTCGCTATGGCAACTGAAGCCTTTCTCTTCGCTTCTCCCCGCTTCTTCGAGCAACCTCCTAGCTCCGCGAGTGCCGCTTGCGGCTAGCCAACGGCTGGCGCCGTTATCTAGTGTCGCACAGGGAAGCGTGCTCGCTGCGCCGGTCGGTCGGCGTGGTCGGCGGGCTGTTCCAGAAACCGCACTATAACCGGTATTTCCCTTCGCGCGCCTGCTTTTTAAGCGGTATGTAACTACATGGAGTTCTATGGGAGGCGAACCGGTGGTTTAAAAAAGCCGCGTTATACCCGGTCCTGCACTACAAGCGGTTACGTTGTAAGTGGTCTATACTGTACTTCTAATGCAGAACTGTATTCTCACCAAAGCTAGTTCACAATTTCGCGAACGTTTGTTATGCACCGTGAACCTAGCACAGTGGAACATAAGAGAGTTTGCAGCTGCCAAACTCCTGCCCCGAAAATCAACTACAAAGTTTTACACAAGTGACATGGCGTGTGAGGGCAGGTTGAGTCTCCACACAGAATGCTTCCTCACCTCAGTCTGTGCATTCTTGATATCTTTGTAAAGAAAAAAAAAAAAAGAGACGGAACCACAGGGCTACGTTTCAGAAGGATGCAGTGGCCATACCGTGAAGCGGACAGTGAACTTGATCGTCAGCCGTGTTTTCCATAAAACACAACTTTGCCTATGAGGGTATCATCGAAAGATAAGAGCACAGCTGCAAGCTTTTTATAACAGCTGTCCAATTTCGAGAGAAAACAGAAATAGCTGGCAATCGCTCGTTTGCGCTAACAGTGTTGCATTGTGTCCGTGACTGCCATGTCTGCTACCACTCCCTCTAGAACTTTTGTCAGCTGAGAGATGGTGTTAGTGTGCCAATGTCTTCTCTCATCGTAATTGCCCATGAGGGAAAATAACTCACTTGACCATAGTCCAATGCAGATGCCTGAACCAGCCTTCTAGTGCTCGTAAAAAGTGACGACAACACCTGTCCGTTTTCGTTTCAAGGTGGTGACCAACCGTGACACCCAGGAGACCCTCTTGTGCATCGCCTACGTGTTCGAGGTGTCAACGAGTGTTCACGGAGCACAGCATCACATCTACCGCCTTGTCAAAGACTGAAGGGGACCGTCCCCGACCGCACTGCGGCTCAATGGCGCGCTCCGCCGTCGGAAACTCTCGTGTTGCCGTGCCTCTTCAGTGCCTCATTTGGACGTGGCGGAGCCACGTTTGCGTGGCGTGGAACCGGACCGCATCTCTTGTACATAGAAACTCCACCGACGTGGTGTCATCGCCGTTGAGTTTTCGTCCCTGGTTCTTTGCGCGCTCGACCTCCTGTGGGAAGGCTGTATAACGCGCCCCCGCTGCCTTTCGTTTTTTGCCATGCCCCCAAATTTACGCTATGCAAGCGGCTACGCGCCAGCCGTGGAAAGTGGAAATGTCCCCCACCGCTCGTTTCTCCGCTCGCTTCCGCGACGTGCGAATCGTTGCACGAACCAAGTTTGCAGACTTGTTTCTTGTCGAGCGAACCTTTTGTGTTTGTCTAAACATTTTTTTTTTTGAGTATGCCGCATGGTGTGAAGGAATCGTGTTTGTGCGTGTGCACTGCTCTAGGTAGTATGCGACAAGACATTTCCATGTGCTGGTGCTCTACATCATTTCGACGCAAGGTTGCATGCCTGACAGCTCATTGAATGGGACATTCAAGTGGCTCCGATCGCCACATTGCATTGTCATGCACGGCATAACACCGCGCCGCACTCTCGAGGTGTTTGCTCGTGCCAGGCTCCACGAGATGCGGTGCTTGAACCCCGGGTGCTGGCGTGCTTTTAGGGGTTTTCCTAGCATGCTTCAGCCTCATTCATGTTTTGGCTTCCCATTATTTTTCGTTTAAGTATTTCGTTAGTGGCAATAGCAGTTCCATGTTTTGTACCATGCACAGAAAGACAAGCTCGTGCTGTCCCTGCTTTTATGTTTTGAGTGTCCAGTCTATTTCCGCTACCTTTTTTTTGTGTTACCCATCTGGTGGAGAAGCAGACATTTTTTGTTTGATGCCCGAGACTTAATGGCTGGCGGCTTGGAGTGATAAGTGGAGACGACTGCGAGGGAATTCAAACAAATTCAGCGTACAAGGTTGTATGATCTCAGTATTTTGACCCGAAGCTGAATTATTAGCCGTCGCTGCGCATTGGTCGTTGAGGGGGCCTAATAAGCTGCCATGTCAAGCTCATTTAGGTGTTTTTGTTTTTTCTCAACAGTGTGATAACTATTTTCTTGCCCATAATATTTTTTTTTTCAATGCCCATGTACTTTGTGAGTGTGCCATTTTAGCAAAACTAGCTTTCTGGTCTTGCCAGTGTGTGCATTTTCATTGTTTGTATACATAAGTGTGCTTTTGTGCCCATTTTGCATTTTTTAGCATCTGGCATTGTTGCTTTAATTTTTCGAGTTTGCTGAAGTTCTTATGTAGTGATCATCCCTTTTTGCAAGCTTGTTTTTTTTTTCTTTGGCAACTTTATTTATAAGTGCTGGGAAGGGGTGGAAATTTGTTTCGACTGATTTTACAGTCGTGTCCTTAATACAGTTTGAATGGATTTGACGAAGTGATGATGTCATTGAAATTTGTGGATCCTATGTTTGTTGCTGAACCAATGAATCGAGCATGCTCGATTGCAACTTGCGCAGCGTCCAGGTGTGTGAAACTTGCTATGCCTGAGTTTGTTGGTAGCTGTATCCCCTTGAAATTATAAAAGAAATGACAGAATCACTAAGGTTTTTTAGATATTGGATTCAAAGCAGACACAAAGTATCTTGAGGGATTTTTGAAAATAAATGCAAGTGGAAAACATAGCAAATGGGTGGCAACCTTTAAATGTCTATAATTTTACTGAGCCTTACATGACTTTGGGTCTGAGAAACAGTAAATAAATTTAATGTTCACTCATTTTTTTTTTGTTGAAATAGTGATTTGTTGAATATCTGCTTTAATAGATCGGGAAACGGAATTTGTCCCTTCGAACTGAAACAAAAGTGGGTTTGTTTTTATGCTCCTGTAAATTCAGACCAAATTTCATTTTTCTGGTTGTCAATTAAAGTGGTAAATATCTTCATGACATTGGCTTTGTAAAACTTCCGAACATTCTAATGTTGCCATCGATCGGGAGTGAATTGTTCAAAGAGACAGATATTGGCACAATCGTAAATGCTATATTCATGCTCAGTTATTAAAAACTAAATTAGTACGACATCTCATACACCCTGAGATGGGGAACGATAAAGAAATGGACGAAGACAACAAAATATCTTTCTGCGAGAAATTTAAGGTTGCCATTTTGTTATTATATTGCTGCAGTGAAGCCTACGATTGGTTAGTACTTGCCAACCACCTGTAAATCTTATTCAAATCTATTACCACTTCTCTATAGATGGCTTTGGGTGTACCAACAGTGTAGGATGGGACAGAGCTATTGTTTAACTTATTTTTAAGAGGCAGCTGTTTCCCGCAGCAGCTTTAGCATCCACCTGAGACCAAGGGAAAAGAGTGCAGGGGATTTACATTCTGGCAACACTGATGGACCAAAGACAAGTTGCAAGACAGAATAAAAAAAATCAAAAAGTGTCAAGAAGTCTTTAGAGAGAGACTTTCCCTATTAACCGCTCTTGCAGCAGTTTCTTGTTCTTTCGTTGTTTTTTTTTGTGTGCAAACTTTCGTTATTCATTTCATGCGGTGTTGGTGACGGGCATCAATAACTCAGCATGTTTGTGTTGCTCTCCTATCGGCTGCACACTTTTTTTTTTCATTCTCGGTTGGTCTTGTTATGACACAGCAGTTTTCTTGGTTGTGAAAGGCAACTGTACTTGTAGTGCTTTCTACTTCCATCGGTGCTGTCTCCCTACGTCTCTATTTTTTAAGATTGTTCGGAGGAACCTTGTTTTCAGACATCTCTCACCTTACAAAATCTTTCATTGGTTTCGTTCATGTAAGGTTTCTGCGAGAACATTCATGACCAGTGTTTTGCGTTTCGGACAGTGCCGATGTTGCGCTCCCGTGGGCAGCTAAAATAGTTTTCCAAAACCATTTCAAAAACACTCTTGCCCCTGGTTTTCTCGATTTTTGATTTGAAAAGCCTCGAGCTTAGAGCCAGTTCACACGTGCAGTGCTCATTCAACACCGGGAACAGCACTGTAAACTTGGCACTAATTCAGCCTGTATCGGCACTGTACAACTAACATATAGTGCGAATTCAGTACTGCGTCGGCAAGGTTGGTGCCATTTCCAGTGCCGACCACGTAACGGAGCTGAGGCAGCACCGTGACGTATGTACGAACAGGCTTCGAGTCACTGTTTTAGTTATTGAGCAAGACCTAGTTTTCCCCACTGACCTTCTTGCGAAGCAACCGCTCGACCCTGTCGGCAGAGAATCAGTAAGGCATCGTGGTGTTGTGACGGGCCATCTTCAGCTTTTTCTGCGGTGTAACAAAGCACAATCGTCGCGGTACTTTTTGTAACAATTTTCTTCTTTCCTCCCTGTACTAAATGGCTCCGCCATCGCAGTCACACTGCCCTTACATGGCCCAGAAGGCACGGTATAAGCTGCAGATGTGAGGACAGAGTTATCGATCAGACACGCATCGAGCTTGTTCAAAGCGTGCTTGGTTCGTACATGCGTGTACTTCGAATGGTGCCTGCACGCTGTCTTTTGTACTGTGTATTTGCAGTGTGACTGCGGCTTTGCAGTTTTATCTTACCACCACTGCAGTGGCAGTTCTACCATCTTGGGTGACACCAAAAACCGTCTTCTTTGCACATGGCAAGGAAGAAAATTGTTGCTGGACGACATTCTCTCGGTCGACGCCACCCCTCAGCTAGCAATAATAAGACTCTGTCATCCACCGGAACTCCACCCAAAGAGTTTTTAATGCCAAATGAAAGAGGAATAGAAACAGACAAAAAAAAAGTGTCGTGTGCTGAGCCTCTCAACACTGTCTTGTAGATAGGTGCTGCATCCATACATCACACTTTTCTTTTTTTTTTTGTTGTCCCGTCCTATGTCTGTTTGCCTTATTATGATGCGCATCTGTTTAGTGCTTATTTAATACCGATTACAAGAAACCGACGACATGTGGCACACTTGTGATGAAGCAAAGTATTTGCCAACTGTGTTTTATATGTACATATATATAAATATATATACGGCTGTATATAGATTTATATATATGTATACTTGCATAGGGCCAATAAAAAAGAAATCCCTGCAAATGCACATCTGTTTCTTGATTGCTTGCTTTTCTTGCTTGCTTATACTCTGCAATGAGTCTCGTGGTCCTGAAAGTGCTTATCAGCTAACGTTATTTGTCGGCCGGTTTGCTGGTGAACGCGCCTATCCCCCCTGGTGGTTCAAATAGCAACAAGAGCATAGGCGTGCGCAGGATTTTTCATTAGGGGGGTGGGGGGGGGGGGGGGGCGAGGTTTCCCCAAAGCGCCCCCCCCCCGCGCTTTCTAACAACGCACTCCCACTGATATCCTTACGCTCATATTGTAGTGCTGAGACGAGATATGGTTATGAAGTGTTTATTTCAACAATATTGAATTGTAACATATACAAAATATTATTAAGCAGTAGGTTTCACTTTCTTGTGGAACGTCCGCAAAGAAATGCAGTCCCTGCGCAGCTGAGGCGTCAGTGACATAACGCGCATACAAAATTTTTTTATTCTTTCAAAACCAGAGAAAGATATGACACATATGCCATCTTTAACAGCACAGAATATTTAAAAATATTGCCTCAACGTGACTCTGCTAGTATGGAAAATATAGTATACATACAGGGCAAACGCACGGGTGCACCTACACATGGCGAAAGCTGTCATATGACGTCTGCAACGTTCATGCAGAGGACGAAAAACGCCACCCAATACACAACGTAATAGCAAAGCTTAAAAGCACGAGGATATACCGCAGATTAAAAATACGAGAAACAGCAAGTTACAATATTTAGTAATTATTGAAGATAAACGCTATGACATATGCCATTTTTTTTTTCTTCTGAGCATCCAAATGTACAGTTTATAATCTTACTTTCTGGCGCTTGATAAAACATGTAATAGAAACCAGATAACACGCACGCATTATGTCATGCTCAACAAACATTATACAAACTAATGGATATGTTATGTGGTGGTAAAAATATTTTATGACTAGATTACTGAAAATGTGTAGCACGTGGGAGATATAGTACTTTTCACCAATCGTGAAAAGTCTAAAGCAAAATTCTACGCGATTTTGTCGCGAACTGTTCGATGACTGACTGCGTCGCGGCGTGTTTTTATGGTTATTTTTTTTTTTTTTTTTTGCGCGCACTAGAGGGAGGGACCTTTGACGTCGGTGTTTTATGCCGTGGAAAAAGAAACCATGGGCCTCGGCGCTGCCCAGAGGGTGCTGCGAATAAGACTTGTTAGGACTTCTTTTGGGTGGTACAAATTTTAGCGTCTCAAACTGTCACGCATGCAGAAGCGTGCCTGCTCTGGTGCGGAGCGCGAGATAAGGATGAAAATACAAAGACAGAACAAAAATTCGAACGCCGTCAAAGCTAAGACGCTGAGAGCGTGAGCCAAGAGATGCCGTTTCACGCGTTCCAAAGTAGACGTCAAAAAGAAAGAAGAAATTGAAGCGTCGCGACACAGGTGTTGTGACGTCACCACCCAGAGATAAGAGACGCGTGCCCTAGCGGTGGTGTCATGAATATGGCACTTTCGATTCTCTTGCAACGTTCAGTTTGGCCGATTTCTGGCGTCCAAAGGTGTTTTTTCGCTCTTTAGCACCACATAGAATTGAAAAACTCGACCGACGTGCCATGAGTAGGGCTATGCTCAATCAGCTGAGCTTGTCCTACCCAAAAATGAGGGCGCTACAGTTTGTTCAAAGCTTCAGCGCATGAGGCCTATACCGCCGGCGCCGTCGCGCCTCGAGTCGGGCCAACTTTGCGCCCCCCCCCCCCCCCCTCCTCCCTAGACGATTAAAAGGGGCGGCCGCCCCCCCCCCCCCCCCTGCCCCCCCTGTGCGCACGCCTATGACACAAGAGGGATTCTTTTGGTCATGTGACCGGTTCCGTAGGAACAAAACACATGGTACCCAGTGTTCCTGGCAAATGGCTGCCGTAAGTTCGTTCTCGTTTCGACTATTCGGGTCTGATTTTGCGCGCAAAAAGAGGAACAGGCTTGAAATATAAGGGAAGTAAATCTATTTCGTGCACTTTAGGAGCGTCATGCAAAGTTACTTCTGGAGCAAGTTGGGGTGAGGGAAAATCATAGAAAACAGTGGGCTGCACTTAAGTCTGCTGAGCGGAATCGGCTGGAACTCTAGGTACCTTTTCCCCACGGAGCCGGTCACGTGATCCAAAAACACTTCTTGCGGCTATTTTAACCGCCGAGAGAGATAGCTGCAGTCATTAGCAAACCCGCCTCCTGCACGTAACACCATCACACCATGCTGGTGGTGATTTTTACTTGTTCATGCCGACCAAAAAAACAACATTCGCTGGTGCAAAATGTGTGCTGAAGAGGGTACGCGTGCGCTCAGCCATAGCTTTTGGGGTCAGCAGCAAGGTTATACAAAACCACCAAAATGGTGGCTGCCCCCAAAAATGTATAGCTTTTTTCACTGCAGAAATAAACTATGCATCGCCGAACGCTGATCCTCTGTCCAAATGTAGCGTTAGTGGTCAAAACCTGACGCCAAGGTTCTGAGCACTAACTGTGATCTTCTTCAAAAGTTACAAGTGATCTTAAAATTTCACTGGATAAAGGGGGCCATTTTTGGTAACTGGTGCCATTGGGGGCATGCGCGAAGTACAGGGGGTGCTTTTCTAGCTATCATCATCATCTTTTGTGACGTCACGGGTGGGACAGACTAGGACAGACTGCGCAGATCTTGGATCTCTCGGCTCGTCGGCTCGCTTCATGCGCTGTTTGGGTAATATGCGTCAAAGTCTATTTTATGTATTGTGTTCATTGGGTGAAGTGATATTGGTAGTAGGACATTTAGTCAAAGCTTGAAACCGTAGCAGGTGTAGTCGGGCTAACAAACACTTTTGACGCTGAGGTGTCGAAGCACTGGAATGGTGTTGAGCTGTTCTCTACCCTAGAACAAAAAGCTGGATGATGAGAATAGAATATCTAGCGTTTTACCCCACTCCTACATCTACCACGGCGAAGAGGGTGTATTTTAGAACGGAGCTGTTAAAGAGTAACTGCAAAAAAAAAAAACTTTTTTTTTTTTTAAACATTTTAATTTGGACAAGTATGTCAAAAAACAATTTTTCCGCGAGAAAAAAAAATTAGAGCAATATTTATTGCGTGAGACTGATTTTAGTTTGCGGCTATTTCGTCCGTTTTAGATTGCGCGCCACAAAGTTGGCGTTCCGTGACGTTTAGTCCAGGGTGTAAGATAGACAGGTGGGGAAACGGCCCATAGAAACCTACCGCCACTGATCTCTATGACAATTACTGGATTGCGTTTGCCCGCTCCGCGAATGCGGTCACTGGCGGCCATCTTGGGGGGGATCGGTGGCCGAGTGGTCTAGCGCACACCAGCTCGGAGCACGTGGAGCGAAAGCTCGCGCTGCAGAACCCAGGGATCCTGGGTTCGAGCCCCACCCCTGCCCGTTTCGATCTGGATGAGCATCGTACCGGCGTGCGGTCGTGTATCACTACTGCGTGATGCACGTTAAAGACCCCAGGCTAGCGGCTGTACCGCACTGGCTAAATTTCTCATCTACAGCTGGGAGACTCGTCGCCCCTGTGAGGCAGACCAAGTTCTAGGCTGTATAAACATACACACAACCCAATTTTTTTTTGGCGGCCATCTTTAGGTAGAGTTATATCACCTCTAGCCAATGTAAGCTGCTGCAGCCGCTCTCATCCATCCATGGCAGATAGCGTTTTGGCAGGTGGGTTGGCAGGCTGCGGTCAAAATAGCGTGGGTGATATTGCGTGATTGATTAAAATTATTTGATGAAACATGTTTTTGAAACCCGGCGTGAACAGTAATCCGGTTTCTGAGGACCTGGTAAAAGTTTCACGAAATGGAAGCACCGGGAGAAAAGCAGCACAGCACGTATCGAAAGTCGCATCGAAAGAAGCATCGAAAGCAGACGACGGTACGGAGTCTGCTTTTGATGCGAGCTGCGCTGCTTTCCGCCGGTGCTGCGCTTTCGTAGAACTTTTTCCGGGTCCTCAAAGATGAGGCTACCGTTCACGCCGGGTTTCAAGAATCTGCTTCGTCGAACAACTTCAATCAAGCACGAAATGTCACCCACGGTACAGTGTACTAGATCTACGACTATTTTTATGGCAGCCTGCCGCCATTGCGCTGTCCGCCATATTACTATGATGGCTAGAGATGATATAACTCTACCTAAAGATGGCCGCCAGTGACCGCATTCCGGTACACTGATCTCAATGACAATTGCTGGATCGCGCTTGCCGCTCCCGCAAGTGAAGCCACCGGGCTTCACTCGCTTGGGATACGATTTGCCGTTTTTGCTAGCCTTTGCTGCGGTTTTCCAGCGTGCTGACGACACGTTTTCTACTCGTTCGTCGTCATTCGCCGAAGAAGTTTTTTGAAGACTCTGTGTATTGTTGAGACTTGCCGTTGTGAACACGTGGAAAATTTTACGAAAGTGCAGTGTCGCAGGAAAAAGGCACAACGCGTCGAAAGGAAGGGCTGGCGGCGTGTTCAAAGCTTCCTTGGCACGCCGAAGTGCCGTGTGTCTGTGCCTTCGGCGTAGAGACACGGCACACGGTACCGACCAAGAACCGACGCCGTGTGAATGTGTTTAGCGAGTGCAATGTGCGTGAAGCCGTATCAAAAGGTACAACTCGTCGAAAACGTGTCGCCGGTGTCGCGGCGTGATCAAAGCTTCCTTGGCACGCCGAGTGATGCATCTTTGTGCCTTCGCACGCTTGGATACCGGTCAAGAATTGACGCCGCGCCAAAGTTCTGAACGTGTGTCGCGCGTAGATGCCTTTAGATCATTTATATATATCGGCCACGGAGTTCTGGATCGTACAGCTGTTCCGGTGAGTTGCTATCAATAAAAGGGGGAGATCTGTACGTGTTCTTATGTACTATATTAACCATGGCTATGTCCCAAATCTACTCTAATAGATTCCGTGGGAGCACGAATAGGGCAACGTTGTGGAGCCAGGGGGGTTTTCGAAAGCAAAAGTACAAGACGGCGAGAATGAAAATCTTTGAAGCGCG